ATATATATATATATAGAAATATCTATCAAAGATACTTGAATAAAAATGAAATTGATTTAATTAACATACCACTAGGGCCATGTCGCGTGGTTTCGAACCCTGAACGTGAAGGATTCGTGCGCCCAGTTCAAGCAGCTTTCTCCTCAACTGTTTCACGGAGACGCCGAGCGTCTGCATGCAGCGACGCCTCAGCTTCATTTGAACCGTGCCGCCAGGTTGTCGACGTGCTGGAAACCACTGGCCGTCAGCTGTCAAGCTGGCATATAAACACTCCCGACTCTCGCGTCCCGTTCCTATTTCGTCAAATCTACTCGTTCCTCGAATTTCTCGACACTGTAGTTCACTTTTTTCTCTTCTTGTTTATTGATATTCGACAGATAATTCGTTACAAAATTATTTGTATATAAACTCTCGTATCTTGAATTTCGTTGGCGTGACGCCTCGAGCGTTCGAAGCGCCAGAAAAAATGTTGAAACTATGTGCGCAGATGTCAAACTGTCATGGCAGCGAGGATAGATGAATAGCATGTGTTTCAATACGTTTACGTCGACGACGATCGATTCTCGATTCCCGTTAAGAGGAAACGACCTGGTTTCTGCTTAATTTGATCCGTTGTACCTCACACTTCCCCGATGCCACTTGACCACAGGCTGTACGGTTGTTTAACGAGTGCTCTAATGGCCACACGTGTCGTTCTTCTCCGATAGCGTGGTGCTCCTTTTTTTTTTCCACGTCCTACCGATATTTACAGAACACTCGTACGAATGCTGCTCGTGAATGCTTATGTATTATTGTGTTTGTGTCCCTGGTGTCTATATAGCGTATATACAAGTTCGCGCGGTACGGTCACGCGAAGAAAAAGGCAAAGAATTCCTGGAGACTTCTGCGAAGGAGACACACACGTCTCTCGAGCCAGAACCGGGTGAAAAGGAATCCTCACGTCACTCACAAGGCGAGACGTTAATGCACCGATACACGCGTGTCTTTTGACAGGCACGACCTTGACTTTCGAACATAAGACTTGTTTCTCACTCGTGGATTTCTTGCTACACACTATTCTTTTCTTTCGAAATAATGTCTTTTCGTATCGTATCGACACAGACTTCAGGAATTGTCACTCATCATCTATCTTTATAGATTTCCTTCTCAATTATCAATGCGTAGCTGGCAGCCCGCTTGTCGCCGTTTTTCTAACCTCTAATTGAGAAATCACTCGTTCACGAAACACATACGAATAGGACACAGAAAAAGACGCACTCTATTGGCAGAATTCCCGCCGCAATGGCTGGCTAGAAATGTCAGTAGCGTGGTTACGAAAGCTGTGATGTTTTTTCGATAATACGGTCTCGCGTTGATTTGAATTAACGAACGGGGACGAATCACCGTTTGTGTTCGTCCTGTACACGCATCAACGAGAAAGAAAATTTATGCACTATCAAGGAACTTTATTACTTCCCGATGTGCCGCCAAACGAAAAATCGTCCTAGCGATTGAATCTCGTCTTTACACACCGTGCCGAACGATAAACTAGAAAGCGGAACCTGCTCCGCGATGAAAAACCCTGGACAAGAACTTCGACTACATCCAACACGTTCCAAGTCCAGCGGCAGACTGAATTCGTCCAGTGGCTGTCAGGCCGCAGCACCATCGACGCTGAGCATGTCCCCCTCCAATTGTCGCGTCGACCCTTTCCACCGCCCCTCCACTATTCACTGTCCGCGCAGCGGTCGCATTTACCTTCTCCTCTATCCCTTCCATCACCCTTCCCCTTGCAAAGAGACTCACCGATCTATCGTTTTCTTTCTGATGCACTGGCAGACGTCGGTGCGCGTACGCACACGAGTCACCGACATGTCTGTGCGCATTCGTGCAGCGGGTGTCCTGCGTGCAATAGCGCGAGCATATCGACGTAGACGACTGCATATGAGACACGCACATAGATGAGCAATACACGCATGGTCTGGGCCAGCAGCCGGTTAAGCCAGTATATATCGGAATAGAACGCAAAAATCATCCGCGTGGTAGTGTCGACGATGATATCCTCGCGACAGGACGGCACGCTGTTATCCTGGTAGGAGGGAAGCCGGCGACAAGGACTCGACACGGTGACACGGCGGCGCGGTTTCGTGTCGTAGTCAGGAAGCGTTCAATTAATCGCGCGTGATCGCTCGAACTTAATTAATAAAGACTCGAGAGCAGGTGAATTTCGAGAGAGTTATGTATTTTAAGTATCGGATTATGAGCGATCACAGTAAAAGAGAATATCGGAATATCGGAAAACATTTATTTTTTTATCATACGTTATCTTCATACCCATTTTTAGTCGTTTCCCGAACGAGAAATTTATTCCGGAGAGTCATAAAATTTTCACCAACGATGAAGCACGCGCGCGCGCACACACACGGTCACGGTGTCGTGGCGCGGAAAGTAATTACCTTTCGCCGGCAGTACGGAAGGCAAAACTCCGGAATTTCGAGTGTCGAAATCTCCGAAAGAAAGAAGGAGGACTACATGTATCCGGCGAAGAGGGAGAAATGAACGTGCGAGCGAGCAAGCATCGAGCGCGCACGCACGCGTGCGTGCATGCAGTTACGTATATTCACTCGCGCGAATTATTCTCGTCGACGGTGCTCCAGCCGGTTCCATTAATTCGAGTGCGCTACTCTACCCTGTAGAGGGTGAAATTACCCTTGAAATTATAACAGGTTGATACTTCAACCGCACTGGCATCGACCGTCAGGTCGCACGGCACGATCGATATTACTTGGTCGATGCGATATGGGCATCACTAGTGTATACACATACGCGAGCCCGCCGTTTAGAGAATAGTTTTCAATTAAGCACACTAAGAATAGTAGCGATAAAAGAAGCTCGTCGAATCGTTGTACTGAGACCCAGTCTCGGAATCGGATAATCGCCATTGTCAATTAAGCTTCGCCAAGCGACTACTGATCGCGCTCGATGCAAGGACTGAACGCGCATGCGCCACGTTCGATTTTCGTATCGTATCGTAATATTCATCGAATGTCATATTCATCACGATTCTTCTTTGAATGCACTGGTGTACAACTTCTTCGATCAATCTAAATCTAGTCTCAAAGGATTCTTTCTGAAGAAAGGTTCATCGTCGAAGCTATTTTATCACGAATAAGCATGCAAGTATCAACACAACGACATCAGCACGATACACGTTGCACAGACGGTTACGCATACACGACTTCTTTCCACGGCACTACCAGACGCTGCTAACCCCCACTACTGCGCCGTAGTCTAACACCAAGAGGCCAAAGTCTCACAGACGAATTCTCACACCCGCGCACAGTCGGAGCGAGCAAGAGTAAGAGCAAGAGGAAGAGAGAAAGAAGATAGAAGGTAGAGATACGGATAGACAGATACAGACGGAGAGAGACAAGGAACGAGACACTGTGCAAGCAGACAAAGATAGGAAATAGGCAAGAAGAGACAGTCTCGCAAGAGCTGTTCGGGTATACGGGCTCTCGTTCGCGACGTCGTCGTCGGTAGTATAGACGCGCCTTAAGGAACTTCGACGCCTGACCTTACCTCGGCCAAGGTCGTGCCACGACGAACCGTCTGCCGTCTCTAATGTCGTTTTGACTGACTGGGATCCGTGTTTTGACGAGCGGCGGACCGTGCGTGTGCTCGGTCATCGGGTGGACGTAACGTCACCGGAGAAAGGCAAGCACACACGTGACATAGGGAGTCTGTGGTGCAGTTTTATTTCCACCGAAGCCAACACACGGTCCATTTCGCCGACCGAGACCAAACTTTTCCATTAGGCGACGCGACTAACGCTTCCATAGTTCTTCTTAACGATCCCCGGTCTCTTATATTAAATTCCGGTTTTCGAGGTAAAAGTATTTCGATACTTGTGCGTTGCTTCCAGACGAGGATCCGACGAAAAGCATCATCCGTACAAGCATCTAAGACGTAACACAATTACGTAATTAACTTTTCCAGCTTTCGGCCATAACTTTCCAGATAGCAACTAAGGGCTCCTGTTCGAGGTTCGATGCTATACCTGTACATGCACTTTATAACGATCCAGGGAAACTTTTCT